AAGGAAGAAGTGAAGAAGCCTGATGTGAAATCTATTGAAATCCGTGGTTAAAAAAGATGAATCAGATTATCATGTCCAAGAGTGTTTGTGTATTGTCTTTTTGGTATTTGGTATGTATAGAAGGTGTTCGCTGAAATGCATACCTGAATTGGTATATATGTTTCTTGTTGTTTAATCAATAAAATGGTTTGTAACCAATTATAAATTGTTAATACTCCAATTGCTAGTAGTCATCGCACAACCGACCTCTTAACAAGAGAAATAATTTTTTTTTTTTTTTGTGATATGGAGGTTTAAATATGGTGAGTTCGGACTATCTGCATAACAGGTGGTCGTCTTAGGATTAGTCGGTTTCATAATGGATTAGATATCCACGTTAATAAAAAAAATAAAAAATTTCTTACTCGTCTTTGCGAAATGGCACGTTTTTTTTAACATGAAACGTTTTCATCATATATTTATCAAAACTAACGAGTAAACGCATGTAATATGATACATATATAAATAACAAGTGCCAAAGGCACCAAGACCACCAACGGTCCAACCGCAGCAACACCGTACCAATTCCAACAATCCAATTTCCCGAGCTTGATCTGAATTAAATCGACCAACGCGAGAGTCAAAAACAAACATCCCGATGCCGACCCAAAAGCCGACGACAAAATCTCAGCTCGTAAAACTCTCAAATTGACGTGAGCAATGGTCCCATCGTTCACCTCGACACGGGTGTCGCCGAATCTAGGTGTCCTAACAGCCTGTTTGAGCCCAAAAGCAATTAGGCTCGAGAACAAGAACGAACTAAAAGTGTAGACATGGAAGACGACGAGATTTTCAGCGGTGAAAGACGGCACGAGGCAGGCGGTGTCGGAGGAATCAACAAGGGTGTACGTTGGGTCGGTGGGGTTGACGGCAAGGCCAAGGAAGAGGCCGAGGGTAAAATGGGATTTAACGTTCACGATGCCGTCCAACGCCATAAGATGGATGGTGGTGCTCTTTAGCTTATGGTGGCCATCCGGTTGATAGTAGCTGCTGATTTAAAAAAAAATTGATTGCAACTGGAGGGGGTGATGATGGAGGCTTGAAGTAGGAATTCAGAAGGTTTGTAACAGCTTTAATTTAAAAAAACGACGCCGTTGCCGGGGATCGAACCCGGGTCACCCGCGTGACAGGCGGGAATACTTACCACTATACTACAACGACTGACCTGTGCAGCTTTTTATTTATTTAATTTTTAATTTTAAATAAATATAAAATAATATTTATTACCTGATCCGACGAGATATTGATATAATTTCTTTTTCCGTCTTTAGTTGGTTGATAAAATTTCTTAAGTTATGCATGAGTTTATTTTGATTATTTAATTACTTTGTGAATAAAACATTATACCAAAACGAGAAAAAAATATTGACGATGTTAATATAAAGTTTGTTTAAGTTAACTTAAACTCAGGATCGTCGTACAACGGGAGTCGAGGGCGGTCGAGCACCCTTGACGGCCAGTGCCTCTTCTGGTAGAGGCCAACAGTGACAGGTGAGATTAGGGATGCCTTCGGTAGTACTATCAGATTGAGTCTTCAATGACACTGATTAAGCAATTCCTTTAGTTGCACTCGTCATTAAGTCACTGATGCTAATCTGTGAGTGTTCCCTCAGTGATGCTAAACGATGAATGTACTCATAAGGTATGTAAATTTGGATTTATATCAAGTAAATTTTATGAAAACCAAGCCTGTAATAGGGTCGAAATATTACATATGGATAGCGTATGGTATACGATCCAACCATAGTTGGTACCAAGTAAGTTGTTTGCGACTTTTTTGGGTTGGTACAACACAAAAGTTGAAGCTAGGAATTTATTTAAATTGACATGTTTACCAGTTAAATCTAGATGCACTAAAGCTATTGAACATTCACATAACATGTTAATATGTGTTGTATCACTTAGCGTTACCTAGACAAACATTCAGATAAGCTTCATATAATACAAACATTCACTAATAGTCTACGACAAACGGCAATTGAGGAGCGTCGATGCATCGTGGAGGTGTAGACAAATTACTAAGGTTGTTAGATTAGACAAATGAATTCAATCAAATTCTATATATCCATCTGTATTATAATTTAGCAAAATTTAAAACAAGATAATTTAAAATTTTAAAATAAAAATATATTGTATACTAATTAAACTTTAATAAACAAATAAATCGGTAACGTACAATATTATCGTGATGTACGACTTTTAATATCGCGTATCAACCAAGTTTAAATAGTTCAATAAGGTACTACCGGCTAATTAAATTGATAGTAACTAAATTAATACCAATTAAATTGGTATCATTAATATTTATCTTTGATATAAAATTAACACCCCGCCTTACCCTTGGAATTTTCCAAAAGTTTCTCCTTTACAAACACCATCACAGACTCGGGGGCTATTTGGTAAGAGCTTAATGGGTTGTATAATGGATATGACTTGTTCGCACAACCATATCTAGCTGTTCAGACTGGGCTTATTCGGTCAGCCGATGGATGATTTGCTCAACTTGAAAAAACCCTTCTCCTATAGACTCATACATTAAATTGCACTAATTTTCCCCAACTACGCCTCTCTCCAACTACTCACATTAAACTCCTATATAGGGCTTATTCTCCATCGACGCTCCTCCCAAGTCCCAACTACACGCCTCCTCCATGTCTAGCTTCCAGCCCTCGTCCTCACCAGTGTTCCAGTCGTCACCGATGTTCCGTTGGTTCCAACCCTCACCGGGTGTTGATCTTCCAACTTTATTGTCAAAGATAAATTAGATTATCATGTCCAAGAGTGTTTGTGTATCTATCGTCTTTTTGGTATTTGGTATGTGTAGAAGGTGTTCGCTGAAATGCGTACCTGAATCGGTATATATGTTTCTTGTTGTTTAATCAATAAAATGGTTTGTAACCAATTATAAATTGTTATTACTCCAATTACTAATAGTCATCGCACAACCGACCTCTTAACATAAATTCAAGGACAAATAAAAATCTTCTTATAGTCATGGAGGATCATATACGGTGGAGGATCAGATACGATGATTTCGGGCTATCTGCAAAGCACGTGGTCGTGTTGAGATTAGTCGGCTCGCATATCGGGTTAGATATCCAGGTTAATAAAAAAAATTCTAACTCGTCTTTGCGAAATGACACGTTTTTTTTTTAACTTGAAACGGTTTCATCATACATTTATGAAAACTAACGAGTAAACGCATGTAACACGATACATATGTATATAACAAGTGCCGAAGGCACCAAGACCACCAACGGTCCAACCGCAGCAACACCG